TAATTTGCATCTAGTATTTCTCTTTATTAGTCCTATGACTTCATTTATCTCACTTCCATTTATTTTTTTCTGTCCTCAATGGATGCCATCCCTTGTTTGTTCATTATAGTTTCATTGTTGTTTACTCAACCTGAATAAATTTTCATTGTCGTTTATTTTATGATTTCTCAGTCTTCCTTTTGGTTCAGCTGGTTTTTACTTAATATTTTTCAACCTGTCAGTTACCTCTAAACACACACACACATTTTTTAATAGACTTCTTTAGCCCCTTTATTGTTACGAGAACTCCTGATTAGAGTCTGCCCGCCCGAGTTTGAGACCTGAGCCTCCCACAAAGCCAGACAATGGGGGTAGGGTGGGAACTGGAGGTGGACCTGCTCACTGAAACAGGAAGAGAACACATCAGTTCTTCTAATCAGTTACCCTTGGCACTTCTCACTGTTAGCATTATTAAATGGGTATGATTTTCACATGATGGCTGGATACCTGCTCACTCATGGGCTGGAGTAATTATGTAAAAGCCATGCCCCAGACCGTGGGAGAACATACTTGAGTATTTTATATGTCCAGCTTTGAAAGCTGATGGTTTCAGATTATAACCAAAAAGGAAAAATTGACAAGCGCAAGCTGTCTCTGGGCAGGGTGGCACTTTTCTCCCCCTCTTAGGGGGACCTTTCTCCTTGTGTGTTTTTTCTTGCCTTTCCCATCTCTTTCCCACTTCTTTCCCCACAGGCTCCCTGAGGTCCTTTTCACTAGAGAAGTCTCTGCCATCCTGCTTTTTTTCTGACACTCTTCTTCTTTCATTCATGCTGCAAGAAGCAGGAGCAAAGCGAAGGACTAGGGCCTACTGTCATGAGAAATGACTTAACCATCTAGGCTTCCCAATTTCCTTCTCTCCCAGATTTTTCTTCTCATGCATTCTTTGGGTGTTATCACATCTTTGACATTCAGGTTTATGTTGCAAGCTAAAAGGTGCTGAGATTGAGAGGCTCGGGATTGGGGTTGAGGTAGGAACAGGACCCCCTTCCTATGCCTTTAACCTGAAGCAAGCCAGCAAGCATTGGTGTTTAAGATATAGCTTCCTTGGTTTCAGTTTGTATTGTGTCTGTGGCCCTAAAGACTTCATGGAGAAAGAGTGGTGCCTGGACTAAAACACAAAGAACAAGGATATCTGGGTTTACCGCTAGCCAAATATGATCTTAATGGCACCAAAACACCAAATTAGTTCCTAACAACAGTATGCCGTGGTAATTAACAGATACCTACACATTGTAGTGTCAGCAGAGAGTGGTACAGAACTCTGTTATTGGGTGATATGTAATCTAAGTATTGAAAGATGAATTTACTTAGAAAAGGTGTATGTTCCAGGCAGAAAACTATAAGTGCAAACTTGGCTTGAAAGTTTATGGCATGTTTGGGATCTGAACATTGAACTCCTTGGAGTTTTTCCTGCAGGTCAGTTATTAAAGGGCTAAAAAGTAGTCAGCCCTAATAATATGCACTTAAAATTTTTTCTTTAAATAGGTGCTTCCTGGGTGAGTTGGGGTTTAGTCAAAGGTGCTGAATTTACTGGCAAAGCAATCCAGAAAGGCGCCTCTAAACTCAGAGAACGGATTCAACCAGAAGAAAAACCAGTGGAAGTCAGCCCGGCTGTGTCCAGGGGACTCCATATAGCAAAGCAGGCTACGGGAGGAGCAGCGAAAGTCAGTCAGTTCCTGGGTAAAGTGACTTCGGATGACTTTCTTTTCAGTTAAATGAAAAATAATTTCTTCATCCAGTTTAATCTGAATGCCCGTTTAGATGGTTTAAGAGTAAAGAATTAGGACAAAGCAGTTTCAACTTCCTGCTCATAGTAGGATCTGTAGACCAGCAACATCACCCGATCAGAACCGTAGCAATATTTCAGAAGCAGGCACTTGACACATCTGCTGATTGATAGAAATCTGCATTTAAGAGATCCCTAGGTGATTTTTATTTGCATATAAAAGTTGGAGAAACACTGGTTAAAGGGTTGTTTTGATATGTTGGAGAGGGGAGTATCCGTGCCTTTGAAAAGGAATGGACCTAAATGTTTTTGCTACTGTTGATTATGACACATTTTACTGCATGGTAGTTGAGAGTCAAGAGGAAAAGATATATTGTTTGAGTAAAGCTGACTTAGTGATTCTGGTATCCGCCTTTCCAAGCAATATGCTTCTAACCCCTTCTCCTTTGACATTTGGTATTTTAAAATGGTCAGGTATCTTCTTAATGGATTGTCTTTAAATGGTGTAAGATTATCTTTTTGGTACTTAGTTTTCTTTTGAATCAAATTGGTTTGTTTACTTTTACATACCTTACTACTACTATCTCAGTGAGTATTTGCTGACATAGAGAAAAAATACAAATATGCTTAGCTGGAAAACACAAAAGGTAGACCTACCTACCCAGCTTACATTGCAGCAATCAGATAGAAAAGGTGGATGGTTTTCTTTTAAGCATATTGCCAAAAAGAACATATATTTAAGAGGCAGGATTACAAACATCAGTGGGGTCTGCACATATATCCTTAAACCAAACAATAGCCTTTGTTTAAAAAATAGCCAGCCTTGGCTCCCATCTTTAAAATAGAAATGGTAACATTTTTCAGTAAAACAACTTTAGATGCTCGTGTAAGAATTTTGATAAATAAGAGTGATAAAATCGGGGAAGAATATGTTTTTTCTAAGTGTTGTTTTTTAATGGTTATATTAGTTGACGGAGTTTGCACTGTAGCAAATTGTGTTGGAAAGGAACTAGCCCCACACGTCAAGAAGCATGGAAGCAAACTTGTTCCAGAATCTCTTAAAAAAGACAGAAATGGGAAGTCTCCCCTGGACGGTGCTATGGTCGTAGCAGCAAGTAGTGTTCAAGGTAACAAAAGGCCCAGAAATTTAACTAGGAAGGCCTGTTTGCTTAGAGCTAGCTTTATTTACTTTTAAATACATTTGCAGGATTTTCAACCGTCTGGCAGGGATTGGAATGTGCCGCCAAATGCATTGTTAACAACGTTTCAGCAGAAACAGTACAAACTGTCAGATACAAGTAAGTTAAATTTGATTATTTTAATGACTAAAACTTAAGAAGCAGTTAAGGTGATTATGTAGTTATTAAGTATCCGATTATTTTTTTTTCACTTGCTATTTTTCTTAAGAGAATATTTTTAGCAAATTAATAGAATTTTGTGACTTTGCCTTATATTACTGTTATAAACATTCGTTCATCATTAATGCAAAAAATAAGTTTAATTTTTAAAAAGCCTAGTGTTTCTGTACCATTATTAATTGCATGTTCTTGATGGGTGATGTTAGCCTGTAGTTTTCATGGGAAAAACATGAATTATAATTAAACTATTGTACCTCATTAACATTAGCCCCTTCTGTATGCAAAAAATGTTAAATTATGCCACATCTTATGTGACTCTGCCACTGTACATTTGCATTAGAACAGACAGATGGAATATCTTCTATTTCATATATTAAAAAGTGGACAAACAGAAATGAATGATTTGCCTAAGCTCATCTGATAAGTGGTATTAAAGATGAGATTTAAAACGGGATCCTCTGATTTTAGCTCTTTATTCTGTCTTCACAAGTACTAGAGGAATCAAGGTCTGAAAATCTAGTATGAAGGACCTGAGTTGCTTTCTTAGCTTCAAATTACTTTAGATCTTAATATTTTAATGTTTATTTAAAAAGAAGTAGTGTTAATGGCATTCTCAACTCTTAGTTGTGTTATCCAGTCACTGACATTTGAGCTCGTACTTGTGTATGAGACATTGTGCTCAGTGCTTTTCATGTGTATTGTTTAATCTTTAACACTGTTATCTCCATTTTGCAGATGAGGAAACCAAAGCATAGAGCTATTAAATACCATGTTAACAGTTTGCCCCTGTAACTAGGAGAGCTGGGATTTAAGCCAGGTCTTTCTCTGTTAAGCATTGTCAGAGTGTGGTCCTGAGCCACCACAGCCCTTGATGGGACATCTGTGCAAGTTTAGTATCTAGAGTTATTTTCCACTACTATCTAGCATGTGTTTAGATTCCCTCCCACCGCAGTATATTACCATTAGCTTAGGATATACTAACTTAATTTCCACTCTGAGTTGACTTGATCTCTTCAATCTGAGGCATGCTTACCTTTGAATCAAAACAATGTCCTGACACTTCATCTTGGAGTGTCAATTTTACAAAACAATTTGGAAAAGAAAATAGAGTAGATCTGAGATTCTTTCAGTGGAAATGTAAAACCCAAGTCTCCCTACTCACCTCTTATTACTTGTGACATTGACTTCTGACTAATACTCTTTGTGTTATGACTTTAAAGTTACTTTGATAGATCAGCCATAATTTGAAAAATAATTTATTGTTTTGTTGGAAGAGCAAGAGAAGGTCAGAAGTGCTTTTAGGCCAAAAGTGAGTTATTTTTAGATTATCGTATCATTCGTTAGCACAGATAATTAGGCAGTCATATTAGAAAGTAGGGAGTGCTTTATTGGGTTTGTCCATTTCCTGCTTTAATGAAAAAAAAAAAATGCTTACCTAAGTACTGTTATGTAGAGCCTTATTAAAGGTTTGGGATTCACATGACTAAGGAAGTACAGGGTTTTGGTGTCAATTTTGTATTTCTGGTCCTTAGTGAGGATAACTTAATATGATGAATAGGATATCTTAACAGTGGTTCTGATCTAGTTTATATCAATGATGGTGTGTATTGCTATTATTTTATCTTTTCCTCCAAAGATTCATGGAGTGAAAAAAAAGCAGGTAAATGAGAATTTAGTTGATATTTTTTAAATAAACCTTTTATTTAAAATCTAAATCTTCATCTTATTTTGGGACACTTGATAGTTGTACCTAAAATTAAGAACTTCACATTTACACTCGCTTAATTTCACTTTGTTGATTTTGACTCATCATTGTCTGTTCTTCATTTTGGCTTCAGATTTTAGTGTGCGATGTTAGCCAGTCTTCATTTTGTGTTATCTATGGATTTGAAAGACTTGTCTTTTTTACATCTTAGATTTTTTGACAACTTTTTATGGATAAGGTCTGTCCTCTTCCACTGATTGTTCTCGCTCCCAGATTTAATGCTTATTAAGATTGGTGTCTGCAAACCTCCTAACAATATTCTCATTTGGCTCACTTTTCAATTTTGTGTTGTCAAATTACTTCTCAGGGTTGTTGTCTTCCACACTCATTCGTTAAATATTGGTTCTGAGTTTTTACTCTACACTCTGTCCTTTTCTCCTCTTCTTGATGCCATCTGTAACTGTGGCTACAGTTACTACCTCTATGCCAGCAACTCTCAATTCTGTTTCCTCTTAACTTTTCTCTTAATTTTCAGGTTCACACGTTTCAGCTACATAACCACTACAGCCATTCAGTCACTACATCCTGTTTTTTGTTTTCTTCCCTTTTTCTTCAGCCTCATTACCACTACCGTAGAGTTTACCTCATCATTTCTCATCCAGCTCACAGCTTGTTTCCTAACCAGTTCTTCTGTATTAAATCCTTATAATTCACAGTGCAACCCGAATTAGATCTTTATAAAATATAAATGTGGTCATTCCATTCACAATGATTTCACAATAAAGTTTGAATTCCTCAGCTTTATCTACAAGGTTCACAACCTATCTGCCATTTGTCTATTTGGTGGATAGATAAATAAGAAGTTATTTCTATTTAAAATATTTAAGGTTAATATTTCTGAGAATGTCTTTGAAGCTTGCATGAAAACTGAATTTTAGACAGATTTATTTGAAAGTTATTATGACAGAAATTTTGTTATGATTAGTAAAATCTAGAATCACTGCTAGCGTGCTGCTTTTGTAGATATTACTGAATGCACTGAAGAAGTTTCTGAAAAATCTCATTCAAATTATAAATTGAATCCCATTTACTTATTTAGGGAATACTTTATATTCATTTTTTATTGTTCTTCAGTTGATACAGTAGTGTTACTCAGTATATAAAATCTGTTTAATAAGTTCTAATTAAAGTTAACTTTTTAAAAAGTAACAAGTCAAAAATAAGCTTTATCCTTTAGCCAGAGATAGGTTTTCTAGTTGTTATCAGTATAGTTTGAATCTGAATGAAGAAGAGAACTGATCAGTTACTTATCAAGAAAGATAAATGAATGAATGAATGAATGAATGAATGAACGAATCTAAATGAAGAAAAGAACTGAGCAGTTACTTATCAAGAAAGAAAAATAAATGCCTGCCAGGAATACTGGTTCTAAGTCACATTGGGAAGCAGAGGTGATAGGTGAGGATATATTTTAAAAAATACGACTGCTGATCCATTTTACAAGATGTTTAAAAATAATTAAATATTTGGAACCATGGAAATTTTAACGTGCTTTAACATATACATCTCATTTTATGAGATGAAAAGAGGAAGTCGATGAAAGGCAAGGAGGGCGAGACTTCACTAAGGTCATATGGCTAGTCATTGACACAGTTTATTAGAATCTAGTTTTCTGACTCTTAGTTTGGCACTTTTTCCCAATTAACAGGAATTGTTGCTGAAATGGAAGTAGCATGGCAGGAAGAACAAGCAAAATTATCAGGTCTCCAACATAGACTCCCTTTTTATTCTTTTAGTACATTATTAAAAATAATGTAGTCTTTAGAATTATGTTATATATAGAAATATTACGAGTGCCTTTAGAGGTATCAAACTCTATGGGTAGAATAGGAAACATTTGAAATATTCAGAAGTGAAATTTTATGACTCCGGAAAAGATTTCCTGTATTCGAGAACACTAATATGACCAGATTCTTAAGTTGCTGTGTCACTTCCTTGTAGCTGACTGTCCGGGAGAGAGAAGTGCTAATAGAAACCTGCTTATCCAAGAGTTATGATCACTCTTCTATTGCTGAAACTGCCACCTCCCCTTTCTTCTCATTTAGCTTTAGCCGTTGCCACCTGATGATAGGATTTGTGACGGGCTTGACTGACAGAATGTCCATGTCTTCTGCAACATCAGCAAATCCTGTGGAATGCCGCGAGGTTGCAGAGCAACAGGGACTGACAGAAAGCAGTTGAGGCAGCTTTTCTGTCTGGTAACTAGTGAGAAAGCCCTAATCAAGACTGGCACCAGACATAAGGTTTGGCAGATTGTAGGTTCGGCTATGCTTTGGCTGTAGTTAACATTAGGCAGAGGGGCAGAATGGAATCATCATTCAGGAGCGTAATAAGAGTACTTCAGTTTTCTAGAAGTGACACTGAAAAACAGTCAAGCATGAACAAGCCTGCAGGATCACGAAGCACTGTTCTAGGTCAGCCTGATAGTAATAGAGGATTCGTTAGTTCAAAGGACAGAGCCAGTGTTAGTATAAAATGTCAGATACAGGTCACAAAGCACCTAGGAAACTTCAGCTGTGTCCTGGAGAAAATTGTGAAATTTTGCCTTTAATTATTTCTTGTTTAAGCAAATCTTTGGGAAACCTATGGACAAGAAAAGCTTTAAAAGCCTGGTATTTATAAAAAGGTAAAGAGTAAAACAAAACAGGATAAGTTTTAGTATCCTTGTATAGGACCTCAAATTGTATTTTTCTCATGGAAATGGTATTAAAAACAGATACTGATCTTTGTGAATAAAAATTACTTTTGTACACTTCTTTAAATACCCCAAGCACTTTGCTATACATTTAATACTCAAGAAACTCTTGTGAGATGGATAAGGCAGGAATTGCTCATTTCATTCATTCAACAAATAGTGAATGTCAGGCACTGTTCTCAAGGCTTATGATACATTAATGAACAAAGCAAAGAGTTTTCTAATGAGCTTTACATTCTAGTGAGATAAACAATCAGCAAAGCAAAAACAATGGGTTTAAATAAGTTCTATAGTATATAGCAGATGGTAAGTTAGAGAAGAAGAAAGAGCAGTTTAAGGAGGGGGGTTCACTGGCAGTAAGGCAGGGCATGTGAGGTAAAGCAATATAAATAGGTTAGGTACTGAGAAGATAAGTCAAAGAAGGTGAAGCAGTTAGCTGTGTTGAACACCTGGGATGAGAGTAGTCTAGTCAGATACCAGCCAGTACAAAGGTCCTAAGACAGCACACGTATGCTCGGTGGGTTCAAAGAACAGCAAGAGGCCAGTGAGTCTCCAGTGAAGTGGAGCGAGGGGGAGCGTGCGTTATAGAATCTGCTTAAAGACAAACTCAGATTCTGATAGTTAAGGTAGAACTGAAAACCATTTATAGGAACTTTATATTATTTGTGTCTTGCAGTTGCTTCAATGGAAATTCTCTTACATTTCCAGAAGGGATGGATAAAAAAAGAAAATAATGACTGATGAACAATATTATTTATATTTTATTCTCCAACATAAACAGTCTTTATCACATTAATCCCCATTATCCCAAACTTATTTTCACACAGATTTTGCTAAAGGAGAACATATAGCCTTAGCACAGTGTGATTTTCTTCTTTAGGATGTGTTCATTAAATTGAAACCTAACCTTTGATTTTGCTTTCAGGGATAACATGCTAATCATGTGACTTATTTAATACTAATTCAGAAGACCTTAATTTATCTTTATAATTTCATTTCTTTTGAAGATACGGGCATACCGCGGGAGAAGCTACACACGATGCAGTAGATTCCGCCATCAATGTTGGTTTAACTGCCTATAACATTGACAACATTGGCATCAAAGCAATGGTGAAGAAAACTGCAAAACAAACCGGACAAACAATCCTTGAGGACTATAAAATACTTGATAATTCAAAGGGGGAGAATCTAGGAGGGGGAGCAAATGTAAACGTGAAAGGGGAGAAGGAGGAGCAGACAGAGGAACTAGAGAAGAAGGAGGCAAAGAAGAAAGGTAAATGATGAAAGGGCAGCGAATCACCTATACCAAAGCCTTAAAAGACGGATGCGACTGTGCTAAGAGGCAGATGTGGAATTCGCCATCGATTAACCAGTATTTTAACAAAGTATACATTTCTACAGAGTAACTGTTTCCATAAGCTTTATGGCATGTATTCTACTTACAAGGAAAATAATTGGTATTCTTTCATCTGGCCTTAGAAATATCCAGTTATATTCTCAGTAAGTTAATTTTTTCTAAATGTGGCTAAAGTATTTTTGCAGTTAAAGTAAGACTAATAATACATGCGCTATAAACCTCATTAAACCCAATATTAAACTATTTTTGTATTTGCTATCTTTCAGAAAGCAAAGTAGGAAATTATTATATATTTACATAATATTGGCATTTAGTAACCTTAGTTTTATTTGTAATGGGAAGGATAATTTAAAATACTGTTTCCTCTTTTTGCACTAATCGTGGATCTTTTTAAGTACTTGTTAGAATTTCCAGCATATAAGCTAAACAAAAATTGTATTCCTAAACTAAGAATTCTCAGATAACATTTAAAAGATGTTTTCAAAACAGGGAATGGTCTAGTCATGAAAAATAAAAAGTTCTATAAAATTATTTAGTAGCTTACCTCTTAGGAAATAGGATGGTCTTTTTGATTTAAAATGAATACAAATAGATTTTTAAGTTTTCTGGATTTAGACTGGCCTGGGGAATTTAGGGGTATGATTCCTATTGTATTAAAATTTGAAGTGACGATTATTTAGTCTATTATATCTACTTCTGTAAGTTTCCCCAAAAGGCTAAAATTTTATGAAAAAATGAGGATAAACAGTATTGAGTTTATGGATAGCAAATATATTTTTATTTTGGAATCAGTCATTGGAATTTTATATATTAAAAAGCCATTAAATTATTAGAAAAGGTTTTATTCATAATATGAAGATGTTAGGCTTACTCCTCGGTGGGTGGGCATAACAGTTTCTACTTTGGCAGAAGGCAGGATATTCACAGACCTTTAAGCTACAAATATGTAGGTAAATACCTGATGGCATTTTATTTTTGTTTACTGGTTTTAAAAGATTGGTATTGGTTTTCATAGCTATTGTCCACCCTAATATTTTTGAATCTCTAGTGGCTACTTAGTTTATTAGACCTTTTTTGAAACTGTCTAAATAATGCACTTTGTGAATGAATGAACTCTCTGAATTACCTGGCTGCAGATACTGTCATAGGCTTGCTTGTATTTTGGGAACACAATAGAATTGGTGGAGTCTTTCTGTAAGGCCAAGGATAATGGACTAGTTGTTAAAACGGAAATAAAATTGAATTGGTAAATAGATTTTAGTCTCTGCCTTGTTTAAGAAATGGAATGGCAAGTAGTGGAGCTTAAAGTTTAAAAAGTAACCTTAGTTCGGAGGTCAGTAAAATTAGATTTATCAATAGGTATCTAGTTTCTTAGGCTGTTCACTAGGTTGTGAGGCAGGACAGATAGCCCAGGGGCAGGATGCATTTTTCCTTTCCTCAGACTTCCGCCCTTGTTTTAGTCCCCACGGGGCGATTAGCCAAAACCGGTCTTTTCTAGCCTGGAGGCCATCCTTGACTAAGGCATGACCTATGGCTAGTTACAATACATTATAATCGCATCCACATTGGAAACACTGCTGCTCCCATCATGCACCTGACGCTGTGACAGCTCTGGAAACACCATATGAGGAAAAAGGAGCGGGAAACCCAGCTCCCTGCTACTGGGAGGCAACAGGAGGTTCTGTCAGTACCATGTTTCTGGCTCTGCCCCCAAGAAGAACAAAAGGCCGGATATTATAACTCACCAAATAATTACGGAGGCTGAACAGCCCCAAGGATCTGCAGTCAGTGAGCTGGAGAGCCAGGAGAGCTGCCGCGTTGTTAGGGTCCAGGTCTGAAAGTCAGAACCGGGAGAGCCAGTGCTATCAGTTCCAGTCTAAAAGCCCACAGGCTGGTGACTCAAGAAGAGCTCCTTTCTGTCTGAAAAGACCAACAACCAACATACTAAAGCAGCCAGGCAAGAGTTCCCTCTTCCTTATCCTTTTTGTCTGTTCTAGTCTTCAAGCGATTGGTTGAGGGCAATCTGCTTTACTCAGTCTGCTAACTGAAATGTTGATCTCATCCTGAAACAGCCTCACAGACACACCCAGGGTTATGTTTGGCCAAATGTCTGGGCACCCTGTGCCCAATCAAGCTGACAAAATTAACTATCACAGCTTCTTAGCCTACTTTTCATTGTCTAGAGGCCTTTCACCTAACTTTGCTTGGCTCTTAGAGACTCAACAGATACAATGTACGAAAAACAACAGTTTTCAATATTTACTGCTATCAAGGTTTTTCTTCACTTTGCCTCTGCAGACGGTCCCTCCCCATGCTGTGCTGGGTAGTTTTCTGTGCGTGCCTCCAGGAACTTGACTAGCTATAGAAATAATGATAGCTAATGTGTATATAGTACTTACTATGAACCAGTAGTGTCCTAAGTACTTTTACATAGATTAACTCCTTTTGATCTCATAATTCTCATGAGGTATGTGCTATTCATGCTCTTACAATATTTTACAGAATAGAAAACTGAGGTGTAGAGAGGTTAAGTACTATCCTAAGGTGGAAGAGAACAATATGAAAGGAAAGGCCACACGCCTCAAAAAGGAGGGACCTACACAGTAGAGAGATTGTTAGGCCAGCTGTCTATCTTTTCCTTAAACAGAGGTATATAAGGAAGAATAAAAATGGTCTTTATAGATTTCCTGATTCCAGCTGCTTAACACTATTAGTATTTATTATAAGTCCATTGGCTTGATGGTAGAAAATGTCCCAAGACATTAGAAAATAGGTCATCAGTCCTAGATTCTGGTGATAGTCTGAGCTTTTGTCCTTTTCTCTGTCTTCATTGAAAAGCCAGTCTTAGGGCTTGTCAGCCAGAAACCATTTTATATCCACTTGTCAAGTAAGTCTACTTAATATTGCTGTAAGTAATCAGAAACTATTTCTCTGATCTATTGTTGCCAAACTCAAGACTAGGTGTTTTTAAACTAGGTGTTTTTAAAAATCCTAATGGATTTTTCCAGTTTGTATTCAGAAATGCTTAAAAGAGAACATTTCATTGTTTCTGAATAGCTTGTTTTCTTAAATTTTTTTTCTATTCACAATATATTTCACAGATCCAGAGAAATGAATTAAAAAAAAAATAAGGACATAGATCAGATTTTAAAAAAAGAAACCCTAAATAATGTTCTTAAATGAATTCTTATGCAAAAAGTCATGTGATTAAAGTTTGTCACCCTAGAGATTATTCACTGGAGGAAACAGTGACTAGCAGAGGGAAGTGTTCTCTGCACCGTCCTACACCCAGTCTGTTTTGTTTAAATTTAGAAGACAAATTTAGAAGTCAGCTGAAGAACAAATAGCTTGAGTACTATGCATGAAACAACATCTCTGAGATGAGCATGTCTAAGAAGCTCCACAGACAATAACCCTAGTTAATAAAATACGGCTATTTAGGCAGTTACTGGGTTGGGAGCTGAAAGAATGCAGCTTTGGTAGACAGTGGTTTTTAAATTTAAGGTTTCTGAGCTAAAGCCACTCTAGTGACAGGATTCAGTGGTTAGCTGTGGAAGTGGAGTGGAGATCAAAGTGATGTGAATTGCGAATTGATAGGCAAGACTTTGGAAAGACTTTTTTTTGGTCAAAGTCAATGAACAAGGAGTGACTGTTAAGTGTCTGGGTGAAGCGGGGAGGAGTAAATGGTGTCACGCCACGAAGCAAGTATATCGGAGGAGTGGGTTTCTTCACATGAGGTCAGAAGGGCAGTGATCTGGAAATAACAGGTGGAGAGGATTCTTGACCTTCTTGACCCAAAAGAACAGGGACCTCTACAGAGAAACCAGAGAACAAATACATCAATCTTTGCCTTTTGATATTTCAAAAGCTATGGTTTGGTGAGAATCAGATTTGCAAGAATAATACATGACCATCCCTCGACCATCCCCAGCCCACTCTCACTCCCATCCCCTCAGTCTAACAAAACGAACTTTGGCTGGGGAAAAAGGCAGAGAATAAACACTGGTGAATATGTAAGAGCAGGAGTATCTTGCTGCCTACAGTCTACCTCAGACTGAGCACAGAAGTGGGAGTGCAAGTTTCGCCATACCACATGATTTACTGACATACTGACGGGAATTATTTTGAATTACACCTCTCTTCTCACTTAAATTGTTTTTTGGAAAGCAGTGAACTTATTTAGCTTCTCTTACACATTACTTTGTACACAATAAATCCTCAATTGCTATTAACCTGATTCCTCAAGATGTTTCAAATGATCTTTTGCCTACAAATTGGGTGCTTTTTGGCCGTTAAACACACTATCAATCTAATGTGCTACTATGTTTATTTTCTAGTCAATTAAATTACAGACTCTTCTCCTGGTTACCCCACCCCACCCCCAATACAGAGATTCTCCAGATTTCCAGAATCTTACTTCTCTCGTTCAAAAGCCACTTTCTAAATGAAGACTATCTTTACTTAGCTCCAGCATCTATCTTGTGAACTATTCTGCGGTTTATTTTACACAAACTATAACAATCATGGGTCCAAAATTTTTGCTGTCAGTTTCTAATATTTTTCCCATAAATTATTTCCCAAAATTATGTTGGTAGAAGCCAAATGAAACAATTAACCAAATGTGCTTTTTATGCTTTAAAAAATTTCCTTTTATAGGCATAGTTGCTGACCATTCTACTCAGCACAGATGGAGCAGTAAACAGAATAAAGGAATTCTTTACCAAATTGTGATTTCAGAAAACATGGTCCCTACTCACACTTAACATGTACCAGAGAAGTCAGAGGTGAAGGCAGATGGGAGCCAGGGGTGATGCTAACGCACAGACTTATTGAGGGTAGTATGCAAAATTGACAATTACAATTATAATCATGAAATTTCACGTTGTAGCGGGCAGCTTTGAGTTAGCGTGGACAGTTCTCAGAGCTGCCTAAACTTGGAATAATCTGGACGAGAAATTCAGAGGGCGGGCAGCGCCTTCGTGAGATCCCAGACACTTCGCCAGAGCCTCTGGAGCGCGGTAGGTAAACTGAAGCAGAAAAAGGCACAGCCATTCTTGGGTTCAGCATTTCTCTAACAAGGAAGGGCTAAGAGTACAGTGGACCTGAGGCATGGGTCAGCGTTTAAGAAAGCAACCAAGCCAGCACTTCTCAGCCGCCTGGCACTGAGCCACGTCGCCCGCGCACACCCGCCAAGCCATTCCTGAGCGAGGTTCGCCCCGCCATCTCTGAGAAAAGGAACGCGCCGCAACCTCTCAGGGCCGCGCTTCCGGGATAGCGCGCGGCCTTCGCGCTCTGGCTGCGCGGCGTCCCCGACCCGGCGTGCCCGGTGACGTCACCGCGAGGCGACGGCGCGGCCTTTGTGCTCTGGCTGCGCGGTAGCCCCGCCCCCGGCGTGCCTGGTGACGTCACCGCGAAGCGCCAGCGACGGCGCGGCAGTCCGCTCTGGTGGCAGCTCGTTTTAGTGCTGTCTTCCCGGCTTCGAGTCTCGTGCTCTGAGCTGTGAGAGCGGGGCCGTAGGAGGCCTCTGATAGGACAGCGGAGGAAGGAGGAGGTGACAGCTCAGACGGTGCGAGCACCGAGCGCCTCTAACAGTAGTTACTGGAAGAAATTCACTCGAAGTGCGTTGGAAGGCGGTGCACAGGTGTAGATTCACGTTCTCGCGCCGGAGGGCCTGCATCTGTGTGTGCTTTGCCGCTCAAGGCTGGAGCCAGCGAGGTGAATGTGACACCAGCAGTGTGATTAGTAATCGGACAGAGCTGACGACATCTGAATGCTTTTATAGGAAAGGATTCAAGTTTTCTGTTTCAAATTACAAAAGTCTGGTTAAATATGCTTCTCTATCCTTTTAGAAGAACTTAAAAAATAGTGACATTTTGGAAAATGATGCCCTTTCTATGAACTTTTAAAAATAGTATTAGCGCTTTGTATCAAATCTTTGAAACGTTTTAAGTAATTTTTAAAGATGCATCCACCACACCCATAGGCTCCACGAGAATTTAGACCCTCTTATGTGTCCCTATAGCTTCCTGTGCTTTCCTCTACTGTAGCTAAGTCACACTTCTAATCGTTTGGTCAGTTCTTGGTCTGGCACTCTCAGGATGCCTAGGACAGGTTCTGTTTTCCCTGAGGAGTAAGAGCAAATACTTTAGAAGAATCTGGCATAAATTCAAAAATTCCCAGCTCTTATCACTCAATAATTACATGACCTTGAGCAAGTTAACCTCTGTAAGCTTCAGTTTTCATAAGAAAGACTGG